TTTACTGAGAATGAGATGTTTTGAGTTGGACTCCCTCACATGTCAATGTTTTAATTGAAATTTTATTGTAAGTGCATATTTGGCTTTTATGCGTGTGTTTTTGTACGTATTTAATGATGTGATGTAATTTTGATGCCTATCTTGGCCAGGTCTCCCTTGCATAAGAGATTTTTAATCTCAATGGGTATGACCTGGTTAAATAAAGGATAAATAATAAAAAAAAATTAAATAAAAAATCAACATCCACACCGAGAAACATGGTGACGGTAGCATCATGCTGTGGGAATGGAACCGCTTTGATGAATCGATATGCTGTTGTTAAATAGCATTTTGAGGCGTAAACCTGGCCTTATTTGCTCAACTTTTGAGACCAGTTTAGGTCAAACCAGGTTTAAGGGATGTAAATCACCAGCTTTTATTTTATAGGGCTGGGGAAAAGAAACGACTAAATAAACAAAACAAAACAAAAATCTTTATCAATGGACAGCTCATTAATATCAATAGAAAACATTACAATCAATCGCTCATTTTACCGAACTTCAATACAGAACCGCAATACATAAAGCAAGGCTGTTGGGAGGGTTGAGCTCGTTAATTAAAAAGAACAACAAACATCTAATCAAAAAAATAAAAATCGGACACTTGATTTCCCATGCCTCAAGAATTTCAAAATCACTGTGAATCTCAAAGATGACGATGTAAATCATTTAGTCAGTTTGGATCGATGTATTGCGATATGCCGAGTTTCTGTGTTGTTAAAAGTACGTGCCTGAAAAGTATTGTGGAGGATCTGCGCAAATTTTTAAGACCCGCCCTCTCCACTTGGAAAAAAAATGCATTTGCGAGAGCGTGCACGAGCCCATTTCTCCTCGTGCACGCTCTGTTTAAAAGTTGCTGTTCTCATAGCTCACACAAGCTTACTGTTCCTGAATGTCTGCCCTAACCACTAAATCCCTTAATCACTATAAAGAGCAGGGACTATATAGTGGACTTTATAGCAAACTCAGGTAAATTACCATTAAGACAGATGATCACTACTTTTTGCTCACTTGGTCACGTAAGTCCTCCACAATGCAGAGCCTGCGCCATCTTTGTTATTAGTCACCCCTGTCGGGTAGCGACAGCCTATGTGACAGCAAACCCCAGAATGCTTTGCGCGGAGAGCTCTCCGCGCAAAGCATTCTGGGATATATCTGCCTCTTCTGAGGATTTTCTTATACATTTTGTAGACACTTTTTCCTCTTAAGACGCTCGGTCATTTTCAAAGAAAGAAAGGTGATCTTCAATGACAGTCTGAAACCGTCGCTCACCACAGATATACGTCTGAAAGTGCACGTGCAAATAAAAAGATAACTGGGGGACTAGCACGTAGGATGGCCTTACGTAAGCATATCAATCTCTACATTTAACCTCAGCAGACTTGCAGTTGTAGTTTCACAAATGCATGCCACATGGCGTGCCGGTGGCAGTGGTTAGCATACACAACCCATGTACGGAGGCCTTAAGGCTGATTTATACACCGAAACTAGATCGTCTGCTTGTGTGTCGCAGTGAACGTAAAGACGTCCCCGCCTCCTCAACAGACACTCTGCTGCACCTCTCTCATATTTTAGGCGAGCGCAGACCGTGCCGCAGAAAGGAGGCCTCTGATTGGTCAATTCTACATCCGCTTGCCGGCTTTTTTTGTTTTTATGACCGTAATTGCGGAAAACTATTTGTGAAGTTGGACCAGCTAGAAGAGCACGGTGCGCCAGAACACTAGTACTCTTTTTCCACCTGGATCCTCGCTCTTTTTCGCCCTCATGCCCCTCCGTTATGGTAAAAACTTGCCCCCACTTCCTCACCGCCTCGGCCGTATCTAGACCATCAGCTATTTCATGATTGTACCTCTTGCGTTGTGGCATGGCTCAGACCACGCTTCAAACTTAAGCATAAATCAAAAATGTCTGCTTCAAGCTCACTGCGACACACTGCAGCAGGGAGTATAACGAGCCCTTTAGTCCTCGACGAGGGCGAGCCGGGTTCGAATCTGGCCTGTGGTCCTACCCCGCATGTCACTTCCCCTCTCTCATACCCCCTTTCCTGTCAGCCTACTGTTGAAAAACGAGCCACTAGCGCCATAAAAACTAAAAAAAACTCAAAAAAACAAAAACAAATGCACGCCACATTTTTTCAGATGTTAACTTGTACAGAACTGTGCAAATTCTTTTTTTATCCATGAGAAAATTAATGAAGATTTTGTGTGTATTTTTATGCAATTAGCTTCAATGTGACACGTTCAGTCTTTAAGAGTATTATTCTGCAGCACAAACAACTTGCAAGTTGAAACAACTCTGCAGAATCCTTGTATTGTTTGGCAAAACTTTCTCACCGATCACAGTGAACTCCTCCCCTGTTTTCCTTAGGGAATCTATTCTTGTTGACAGTTTGATACACAAATGGCAGAAAATCACAGCAGAAAGCACACTAAGCTTAGATTAACAGGTTGGACCTTCGTTCATTTTAGTGTCCTGGTCCAGCTGGACCGCTCGCCTGCATTTATCCACAGTTTTGGTACTGGAGAAAAAAACGGCAGCAGCCTTCAGAAAACACTCGCAACCAAAGAGCAGTTTCTTCGTCACAAACCAACTATGTGGAATCTGGGCAGAGTCTGCTTATCAGGATTTGCTTTAAAGTTTTGACCCACACACAATCGAATAAAAATAAAAATCAGAAACTAACGATTTATCTTGTTATAGTCAAGAAAGAGAATGAGAGCAAATTGAAACCACTTTTTTCCTGAATGAAATCAAAGATTCACAGAAATTTATGAGCTTGGTTAGGAAGAGATAAAACTGAACTTTCCCCTCAGAGTTTCCTCCTTTTTTTCTGTGACGTACCTGCCAGCAGGTGTGTGGGGATTTCCTCTCCAGAATGTACTGCGTGAGCGGCGAAGGCTCCAGCTCATACTTGTCGAAGGGCACCTTGTCTATAACCATAGGTTCTGCGTCCACACAGGAGAAGCGTACGTGGGGGTGGGCTGAGCGGGGCGGCTGTGGTTGGATCATAGAGAACACCTCATTATTATCAATACAGTCTAACATTCCTCCTTTTTAAGGAATAATTAGTCTAAAGTTCTATCAAAGATANTATATATATATATATATATATATATATATATATATCTTTATCAATGGACAACTGATTAATATCAATAGAAAACATTACAATCAATCGCTCATTTTACCGAACTTCAATACAGAACTGCATGGCATTCTGGGGGATGTATGCAGAGGAAAGGATTAAGGCTCTCCAACGGCCAAGTTAAGCAAGGCTGTTGGGAGGGTTGAGAGTTGTGCGTCGATGGTTTTCTTTTGCCTCGATGTAAATAGATTGTAAATCATTTAGTCAGTTTGGATCGATGTATTGCGATATCCCGAGTTTCTGTGTTGTTAAAAGTACATGCCTTAAAAGTATTGTGGAGGATCTGCGCAAATTTTTTAAAAGACCCTCCACCACTTGGGGAAAAAAATGCGTTTGCGAGAGCGTGCACAAGCCCATTTCTCCTTGTGCATGTTCTGTTTAGAAGTTGCTGTTCTCTTAGCTCATACAAGCTTACTGTGCCCAAACGTCTGTCCTAACCCCTAAATATCTATATAGAGCGGGGACTATATAGTGGACTTTATAGCAAACTCACTTAAATTACAGTTTAGACTGATGATCACTGCTGTTTGCTCCCTTGGTCTCGTAACTCCTCCACTGCGTGGTTCCTGCACCATCGTTGTAATTAGTCACCACTTATTTAGATGATCCACCCGAAAATAAAAGATCGTACTCTATACCTTTAAACAATTGGTGAATCTTGGTTAAGAGCTCAATCTCTACATTTAACCTCAGCAGACTTGCAGTTGTAGTTCACAAGTGCATGCCACATGGCGTGCAGGTGGCAGTGGTTAGCGTGCACAACCAATGTATGGAGGCTTTAAGGCTGATTTATACTAGGTATCTGCTTAGGTGTCGCAGTGAACGCAAAGACGTCCTCGACTCCTTCCGCAGATACTCTGCTGCACCTCTCACAAATTGTAAATAACCGCAGAGGCCTCTGATTGGTTGAGTCTACATCCGCTTGCCGGCTTGTTTTGTTTTTATGAATGAAATTGCGGAAAACAATTCGTGAAGTTGGACCAGCTAGAGCTGTGCAAGAACGCTGGAACCCTTTTTCCACCTGGATCCCCTCTCTTTTTCGCCCTCATGTCCCTCCGTTGTCGGACAAACTTGCCCCCACTTCCTCACCGCCTCGGCCGTATCTAGACCATCAGCTAGTTCATCATTGTACCTCTTGCGTTGTGGCGTGGGGCAGACCACGCTTCAAACTTAAGCATAAATCAAAAATGTCTGCGTCAAGCTCACTGCGACACACTGCAGCAGGGAGTATAACGAGCCCTTTAGTCCTCGACGCGATCGACCCGGGTTCGAATCCGGCCTGTGGTCCTACCCCGCATGTCACTTCCCCTCTCTCATACCCCCTTTCCTGTCAGCCTACTGTTGAAAAACGAGCCACTAGCGCCATAAAAACTAAAAAAAACTCAAAAAAACAAAAACAAATGCACGCCACATTTTTTCAGATGTTAACTTGTACAGAACTGTGCAAATTCTTTTTTTATCCATGAGAAAATTAATGAAGATTTTGTGTGTATTTTTATGCAATTAGCTTCAATGTGACACGTTCAGTCTTTAAGAGTATTATTCTGCAGCACAAACAACTTGCAAGTTGAAACAACTCTGCAGAATCCTTGTATTGTTTGGCAAAACTTTCTCACCGATCACAGTGAACTCCTCCCCTGTTTTCCTTAGGGAATCTATTCTTGTTGACAGTTTGATACACAAATGGCAGAAAATCACAGCAGAAAGCACACTAAGCTTAGATTAACAGGTTGGACCTTCGTTCATTTTAGTGTCCTGGTCCAGCTGGACCGCTCGCCTGCATTTATCCACAGTTTTGGTACTGGAGAAAAAAACGGCAGCAGCCTTCAGAAAACACTCGCAACCAAAGAGCAGTTTCTTCGTCACAAACCAACTATGTGGAATCTGGGCAGAGTCTGCTTATCAGGATTTGCTTTAAAGTTTTGACCCACACACAATCGAATAAAAATAAAAATCAGAAACTAACGATTTATCTTGTTATAGTCAAGAAAGAGAATGAGAGCAAATTGAAACCACTTTTTTCCTGAATGAAATCAAAGATTCACAGAAATTTATGAGCTTGGTTAGGAAGAGATAAAACTGAACTTTCCCCTCAGAGTTTCCTCCTTTTTTTCTGTGACGTACCTGCCAGCAGGTGTGTGGGGATTTCCTCTCCAGAATGTACTGCGTGAGCGGCGAAGGCTCCAGCTCATACTTGTCGAAGGGCACCTTGTCTATAACCATAGGTTCTGCGTCCACACAGGAGAAGCGTACGTGGGGGTGGGCTGAGCGGGGCGGCTGTGGTTGGATCATAGAGAACACCTCATTATTATCAATACAGTCTAACATTCCTCCTTTTTAAGGAATAATTAGTCTAAAGTTCTATCAAAGATAAAATTAATGATAGAACATTTACAATATACAATATTGTAAAAACAAACAATATACAATATCATTTAAAATGTCATATTATGCAATTAATGATGCACATATTTTTATTCATTGTTTTCCTGCAGAGGTGTTCGATTTTTATTCACAATCACAGACTTTTATATATATAATCTAATTTGAATTCTTCTAACAGATCAACACAAAATAGTCCCTAACTGTGGTGGGTGGAATATGGTGCTTTATTCTATATTTATCAACATTAAAAATCTAAATAATTTGATTATGTATGATCAGTGCCTAATCAAACTACAGATTGATCGATATAGTTTTATTATGATTATCATGACATCTAGCCTGACAGATTCCCGATGCTTGAAGTTTTTTTTCTCCTCCATGTATATTATAAAATCCCACAATGAGAGACAGTGGGATCCATTGGCAGATATGTTGGCGTTGGCCGATTCATCGGTGCATTTAGCAGCCAAACCTTGAGGTCAGTTGAAGCACAATGCACTGCATTCTCCATTTCTGCTAATGTTTGATTTGTTTAGAAATGTTTATCTTCTTGCTTAAATTAAAAGTTGAGTAACATTTGCAATAATTGTGTCATTTTTATCATGTAAATGGCGGAAGGAAAAGCAAATAAAACTGAAAAAAAAAAAAAAAAAACTATCGGTCGATAGAACTTTACCAAATCAAACCCTTACTAACAGATGGAGCAGCAATGCATGGCTACTGAATGCACTAATGAACGGATGGACACGTGTCTGGACTGGCCAACAATATTGGCCAGCCATGTCACCGTCTATCTTTGAATTTAACCATTTTAGAACCACCTTTCACTGCTAATAAAGCTGCAGGTTTTTAAGGGCTTTCCTCAATTACCTTTGAACATCTAGAGATTGAAATATTTTGTCAATTTTTCCATTTCATTCATTTAAAGAGGTAGGACAGCTTTTACTGAGCACAGTGCATCCATAAGTTAAAATTAATTCAATTCAGTGTATTTCTATAGCGCCGATTCACAACACATGTCATCTCAAGGAACTTTACAGTTCAACCAGATCATACAGTCAGATTGATTCAAAGTTTTCTATCTAAGGAAAACCAGTTGATTGCATCGACTCATTGACTCAAATGCAATCCCTCACACTAAGCATGCTTGTAGTGACAGTGGAGAGGAAAAACTCCCTTTTAACAGGAAGAAACCTCCAGCAGAACCAGGCTCAGTGTGAGCTGCCATCTGCCGCGGCCGACTGGGGTTCAAAATTACAGATGGAAGTTAATACTACATACTAGCATACTGATCTTAGTGATCGACAAATGATTATTTGATGAAAAGCCAAATTCTTTAAAACCTGAGTGTTCTCTTTAAGAAGAGGATATTTTCATAACAAGAAGGGCTAAATATGTTTTTACAATATGGAGAATAAAATACAAATAATACCACAGCATTAAAAAAAATAAGATATAAAAAACAGGAACCTATTATGTAACTGAATAAGTATAATGTGTGAAACTAGGGCTGCAACTAACGATCTGTCGATTATTGTCGATAAATTGATTAATCTGTCGATTATTTTTCGATTACCGTACTAATCAGATGGCCAAAGGTTCCTTGAAGATTTTTTATGAAATTAAACCAGATGAAACAAAAATTTTTCAACTTCAGGAGTTCTGGATAGAGCATATTGACAGACAAAAAGATTCTTCATCTTAAATAAAAACTGTTTATATATATATTTTTTACAATCTTGGTATAATTGCTGCTCTAAGCGTGTTGCTCTGTAAGCTAAAGGCACATGTAACAACTCTTTACACCGGTTAGCGATGAATCAATTACTATATTAGCTGACGATTATTTCAATAATCGATAAATAAAGATTAAACCAATTAATTGTTTCAGCTTTATGTAAAACACTTATGATTTCCTGTTTACTATCCTTACCAGACAGGGCATGTTGCTCTGACCTACTGTCAGACCATTTATCACTTCGTTTCAGTGAGGTGGAAGCCAGCTGCGATACACAACCCTCTGTTTTTAGTGTAATCCAGCATTTAACATTACAACACTAAAAGAAATTCCATTTAAACTAATGTGATCAATCAATTGTCAATTTATCATGAAACGATTATCTGTTTACATTAACATTAACATATCAAAGTCAAGTTTTTTTCTTTATAAAGATCTCTTACTAGTGTTGGAGAGTTCTGGTCGGGCCAGAAGGCCTCAGGGATGGGCCAGTGACCAATGGGGACGCCGGTTTTAGGGTTGGGTCGGACGTAGATCAGCTTGTGACAGCAATGCCAAGGCTGTGGACCGGACTTCAACCCCTCAGCTGGAGCATCTGCCAACAAACATTAGGGAAAGGCTTATTTATCAGCAAAATGTTTGTTTTTTCTGCAAAATCAGTCAAGTAAAAGGCTTTAATATCCACGTTAGAGTTTAAACATGAAGGCGTGATGCATATAAATATAAATCTAAGCAGCTTGATAAGGAGCACACTGAGGGCGAACTCAGAGAGGATTAAAAAGATAAAGAGGGAGAAAGTTTATCAAGCAGACGCAGCGCAGTGATGTCACAGAAGTGGCTGCCAGAAACGTACCTTCTAGTGGAGGAGGGTCGGGTCCAGTCTTTTCAAAGTTTATCACCACCCCGCTTTGGATTTTCTGCACAAGAGACTCCAAACACTGATTCAACATGCGCTGAGAGAACACACTGTAGGAACGCCCTGCAACACACAAGCGACCACTATTAGCATCTACTTCCTGATCATTTTAAGACATTAAAGACTGTCAACAAAGAGCAGTTAAAGAAATATATTTTTAGAACATTTTAAATTTGATTTTCAAGCTATGATTATTTTTACAAGTTGATTTTTTTCCTAGCTGCTGATGAACTCAAACGCAACATTAATTGTGAAACTATTTCTGAACACTCGAAATGAAGGTGATAAAAATTTGTGTGTTGATTATTACAAAACGCCAGTCATCTTAAACAGTTTAAAGCTTCTTAAAAGTTTGAAAACGATGGGACTAAAGTTTTTAGGTAGCAGTGCAGAAATGTAATAACACCCTGGCAAACACAGCAAGAATCAGACCTTTGAGTTTTATCTAAGCAAAAGCTGAAAAAAGAAAAAAAAAAGAGATGAAAACTGAAAGAAACATCAACATTTAAAGCTAAATTTCTGTCCATGTTAAAAATGTTTGTTGCGAAAGTATAATTACAAAGTTATCACCATAAAAAAACGTAATTGGAAGCTCAATCGGAGCAGATAGTCGGACTAACAGCCAGCCGGTATCTCCTCATTCTACCTGTGTTGCCAATTTAAAAACAAGAAAAGGTGTAATATTTTATGCAGTAGGCTTGCTTACTTCAATTCAATTGAGTTTATTTATGCATCTCCAATTCAAAACACGTGCCATCTTAAGGCTAAAGTAAAGTTTTCTATCTAAGGAAAACCAGATGATTGCATCGTCTCATTGACTTGAATACAATCCCTCACACTAAGCATGCTTGTAGCGACAGTGGAGAGGAAATACTCCCTATTAACAGGAAGAAACCTCCAGGAGAACTAATGTTTACTTAATTAAACTCTTGATTTCTTTCTTTAATGTTGATTAATCAGTGTAATTAAATAAGTTGTTTTGACGTTTAGGTCAACGCTTTCAAATCTTGGGAACTTCTCACCAGTTCAATGGAAAACATCACTTTGGGTTCCTAACATTTTCTCTACATCACTAATCAAAGGAATGTTTGTTTAAAACAAATAAAAACATGATCTTATCCTTTGGAAATGTGCGCTCAGTGTCATAAATGATTTAGTAATATGAACTAATTCTTCTGATTAAAACTAAAGGCCACTTGAGCAAAGCACTGTTTAGAAAAATGTAAAGCAGAATTAAATCCAGAAGAAAAAAACTGAAGAACAGCTTCTTCCTCAAAGCTGGGGAGGCAGTTATCCTCCCTGTAGTCACAAATTCTCACATGTATATACTATGGTTGAAAAAATTGTTTCTACTTTGAAAAGTATCTATACTATAACTCTGTATCCAGATACAACACTAATTTGGCATGATATCAATCAGAAAACAACTGTTTGAACATTTCTACCATCGCTAATTTTTGTTTATTTCATATTAAAAGAAAAATAACTCAAACTATTTAAAAATATAGGGAAGTGTTACATCTGAGTCATTTATCTTGCATTTATTTGCACATTTATGTAAAAGAGTCTGATTATGTTAAGAAAGCACGTTCAACCTAACATTGAAAAAGGTTCATTTTTCACTTTAATTACATTTTTATGCCTTTAATTATTCTGTAGTTTTTATCTCCATGTTAAAACAGTATCGAGTATTTAATATTTCCCTCTGCATCGCTATAAAATTTTGAATTTCAGTATTTTGATAACTCTTCTGTCTACATATTTTAGTTTATAAATTCTTCAGGTGTATTGATTTTTCCTACGTATAATCTGTGCCCTCTATTCATACCCATGAAGGTTCTGTTGCAGTTTAATAAAGACAAAGATTCTTGGTTTTTATTAACTTGGATATTATAAATAGGGGTTGGCGACCATTATTTATGAGAAAGCTCTGACGCATTGTTCGGTTCACCTGCAGCTTCTGCAAACTGTCCAGTTTGAAGAACCTGGTTTTTAATCCTAACATTTAAATGTGTTTCAGTTTTTACATTTGCATTAACTGGAGCTCAAGAAAGGCTTTAAGTAGTCTTGACTAATCAGCTGTAGCGCCAATTACATCACAGAGCCATAATTGAGACAAGCTGTTAAAAAATACACTGAGTTCATTTCAATCAAAGTCGGCCTCCTCATCATTTAAAGCCTCCCACTTCACCTCCAGTGACCCACCAGTGCACCCGATCACTTCTCCATTCAATAGGCCGTGGCTTTGTGTCAGCAGTAATGGACAGGCAGCATGTACAGTCGCCCGCCGTGGCTGACAATGGAGCCGTGTCATGTTCTGCATTCAGCCCCGCGACTGTCACACAGAGCGCTGTACCCCATTCTCTCTCTGTGCATGTGTTCATCTTAAACCTGCCACCAGCATGGTTCTGGTGTGTTCCTCCTGCCAGCTGGAGGAACAAGTCCGCCTCTATGAGCGCAGCTGCTATGTAGACAGCTGGGGTTGTGGTTTATTCTGCAAGCAGAAGGAGTTTCCAGCTGAAAACCGTTTTGACAGGACCTGCGAGTCAGGTTTGAGCCAGGTAGAGGAATATCTTAAATCACGAGTTCCACAAATCTACCACTTCACTACACCCACGTCAGTTTGAGTTGCTTCAGATAATAAAGAAGGAGAAAGATTGAAGCGGCATTAAAATCCATCTGGTTAAGACAGCAGTGCGGGGTATTTAGAGGAAATCAAGGGATCTCCCTGACTGGAAGTTCTTTTTTCCTCCAGCATCAAAAAAGCTAAACACTAAACATTACCCTTTCCTTGTATCACGCTGACAGATGATTCATCTGTTGTGCGGCAGAATGTGTTTAACAAACAGCTATTTTGATGTACTGTTATAAATACTTGGAGCCTGTCCCAGCGTGTTCCACCAGGCTCTGCTGTGCAGCTTAGGATCGCTACGACAAGCTGAGGAAGGCATTATATAAAAACACACTCTGGCAATTCAGCAACAGTAACTACAAACAAAACGCTTTCATTCCTGATTTTATGTTCTTTCCAGATCTATCCTGAGAGCACTGGAAAAACGATCTAGAAAAAAGCAATCATTTGTTAAATTAAGTGTATTTATCCTTAATTGGAGTAGGTAAATGAGATAGTTGCCAGTGGAATGAGTATTTCTACTCTTATAATAAGATTAGATAACATACAGTTGAAAAAAGAGAATGCAAATGTGTTTTCTTATTTTGTTCCATTGTCAAAATGTCTCTTTTATCTCCTCAATCCAAGAACAAATGCACTCCTTTTAAGAAAAAACTACTTATCTAGATTTCGATTTTTTTCCAGTGAGGCTTCCTCCCAGATGAGTTTTAAACCAGAATTCTAAACGAAGCCAAAAAAATGAAAATATTTAGTGTTTCCAAATGCTTTTCCTATAAAGATTCCAAGTTTTCTCATAGAATTTCCAAATAATTCAGGTCTTTTGAAGCTATTTTGATGGCTTATGGTTTATTTTTATACACTGAACTCACCAGGTGGAGCCTGTAGATATTCTGGGTTTATAAGAAACAGACGTATGGCTGGATGAACAGATACTGTTATTATTGAATAGATAGATCAGGAAAAAATTGCTTTGGAATATTTTTACAAATGATACCTGTTATGATACCTGCCCTTTCTTAAACAACAACTCTGTCCGTGAACTCTAACCTTCATACATCCCAAAATAATAGTTTTTATACGTTTTTAAAAGCTATCATCATTCTTTAATTCCTTGATTAATTTGGATTCCGTTCCATAATTATGGTTTCAAACCTTAGTTTTAAAAAAAAGATCTCTTCCTTTCAGGTTTTAGTGACTTTCTCTTTTTTTAAACCTTTTATAGATGTTCACTGGCAATATTTTATTCATTGCTTTATATAAATCCTAGAGAATTTTAATCTGCATAAACAATATAAAAATGAGCAAAAATGTCTTCAAGTAAGTGTATTTACCCTTTATTTGAGTTGTTAAATAAGATGATCTACCAACGGAATGAGTATTTTACCCTTCAAATAAGATAATTAGATTAGATAATTAGATATTATGCACTTCTCATTTCAAATCTATTATATTCTATTAGCAGATTTTCTAGCTTACTTGCTCAATTCAATAAAATATGCACTTATTTTAAGAAAAAATAAGGTGCATAAATGTCAGTTTTTTGATACATTTAAAATACTAAATCCTATCATTTTAATAACTTACGCTGAATAAAAGTGGGTTAGAAATTTTTATGGCTTTTATTCAGTGCCTAGAGCTTCTCTTCCAAACATAAGGCTTTATGATCAACCGAAGCAGTTCTGTGCAAATATGATCATAATATATCTGACGAAATTGTTCTTATACATTTTTTTTTATTATTAAAGCATTTTAAATGCCAAAATAATCACATTTAATGAAATTTGATGTCAACTAAGGCCTTAATTTAAAAAAAATTATAATTTAATGACTTTTAATAACGGCGGAAACCCTGTTACAGTCGCACCCAAATTATATTTTAGATCAATTAACTCCTATTAAATGCATTGAGGTTTGTGGTTTTAACGGCAGAATGGGGGAAAAAAAACTCAGAGATGAGAGAATACTGAACGGCACTGCAGTGACCGATGAGTTTAACTTCTAAATAAGGGACAGGAGGTGAAGTAAGGATAGTCTTCCCTTCTTTAGAAACCTCCAAAAACTTTTCAGTGACATAAATATTGGACTCTATAATAACTAGTAATACTTTTTTTAACTTTTTCCTCCTGTTACTTTAAGGCCATTGGGTGGATTTATTGTCGTCTCTTGTTTCTCAACCACCATCGCTGATGACAACTACAGACAGAATGTAAATTTAGTGGCTAGATCCATTTACTGGGTGTGGCAGGTTTAGGTAATGAACTAAAACTTCACCAACCTCCGGTGACCTCACACATGGGTGTGATCGGGGACTCGTCGGGCGGGACGCCGCCGAGCGGTTCGGGCTCTACCGAGGTGTTGCCAGGGATACGCAACACCAGGGCAAACAGGCGCTGGTCCCAACGAAAGGGCTCCTTGGTGAGCTCGCTTCCCGGCAGCGGCGTGGTCAGAGGCAGATGGAGCTGGACGGAGGAGGACATGAGAAAACATTGATGGATCAGAGACAGAAAAGATTTCCCTTCGCCTTTTACAGACATTTCTGCTTGGTAACGACTCTGGGGGACAGATTTGAAAATAAACGGAAAGCAAACAATGTAGGCTTTTTCCTAGCTGATAAAATAAGAGAAATTTAAAACACAGGTCAGATCATCTGGCGCCAAAACTAAAACTATTAGCATAAACAACAAAGATGGTCAACGACGACTACACTACATTGTTGACATAAATCTAAAACAGTTCTCAATTAAACTAAAACAGTAACCATTAACATTAGATGACACAAATAATACAATATTTAATCAGTCAATTCAATACTTTCAATTAAACCTTAAATTACTGGTATTCTCGTCCTACAGACAGTGGACAATAATGGCAGAGTTAGCCAACATTTTCATTTGGTGTTTAGGTTCTGATCAGGATAAAAAACTCTGTAATAATCTATAACAATTACTCATTCCTGTGTCTAAGTTCATTGTGTCATTTTACCAGCCTGTCACCTTGACAATTAAGTTTATCACTCTTGTTTCCATAAAAGTCACATCATATTATTTTGTCAAAAAAATAACAAAATCCAGTGTACTATGATAAAATAAGGCTTTATGCTCCAGGCGTCTGTCCTGAGAGTCTTTGTGTCGTTTTTTTTTAGCCTAAATAGAATCACAGTAACAGCGCAATGAGCTGATATAAACAGCACTGCCACCTACTGGCAGTACTGCTAAACTACCAGAAAGCCTGATGGTGGCCATTATGCAGCTACTACATAAAAGGGGTGTACCGACCCGATATTAATCAGATATTGATCTGACATTAGCTTTAACAGGACGGTTTAAAGCGACGGCTGGGAGAATATGGCTGGAAATCATTGCCAACACCAGTAGATATATTAGCAAGGGCATGTCCTCACATGTGTCTCAACCTTCCAGGGACACCAGAAGGCTTCCTTATCTTTAGTCTATCGGTTTGCCACAAACAACTCAAAATGTATTCCTCTTGTAATCAAACATCTTTTGGGCCTTTATACACCTGACCTTGGATTTACATTTGAAGTTTCACCCTCACTCGCCTCCACTGCTGCGGCTTATTGATCAGTTGTACATATACTCAATAAGGTAATCTTGGTCACATGATCTTACAGTAGATATACACAGAAAGGCTAGATTTACTTAGCCTGATAAACCAGAGTAAATGTGAGATTAAATGTGTAATTTAGTCTAACCCTGATGAATGAGACATCGGAAGATTGTAGATGAGAACAACCCGTTGTTTTTCAAACCATGTCTGTGCCTATTGGCCAACGCTCTGACCAATGAGCGCAACTAACTGTTGCGTAGTAAGCAGAAAGCTGGTGGGAGAGTGTAAACAAACAGCATGTCGGTAAAACAGCGAATACCGGTACGTCCTGCTCACGTTTCAAGGAAAACCCCAAGTCTAATCCTTCCAAAACTGATTCCAAAGTTGAGTCAAACGAGAACTGTTCAATAGTTGTTGCCATCTTCCTTGTTGTGCTTTCTCCAGCGTTGCGCAGACTTGTCGTCACCCCCTTAAACCCCCGCCTGCTCTGCATCCAGAAATTCAAAACACATCTCTGAGTTGTGATTGGCCCGAAAGTTCCAGGGCCCGGGGAATTGATCGAGGCTAGACCAAACTCACAGGTAAAATGATTTTGGCCTCTGGTGGGTGGGGCTAGTTTACTAGGCTAATATTTACTAGCAAATTGAGCAAAATCAAAGCTTAAAAGACAAAAATAAATACAAAAATAAATATTACACCAGTAGGACACCAGGTCATTGAAGCATATGCAACCAGAGTGAGTTACTAGCATATACATTTAATCTTTAACCCTAAACCACTACACTATTATTCAAAGTTTGAAAAGCTGATATCTCTTATTCTCAACAGAAATAGGATTAAAGCTAAATATTTAAATATTTCATCTTGTAAAATATGCTGAAGGTGCATGACGAAAAAGGTTGGTCAAAGCTTTATTGGAGTTATATTTATCATTAATAAACGTTGAACAGATGTTTCTATTTTAAACCAAAGAGGTTCATATATGCTTTCATACGATCTCAGGAACTTTGAAGAGTGATTCTGATGACCATTTAAAACACAGATCAAAGACAGATTTACAGGCTTTATCCATCAGCCCAGACGCTATGCTAATTTTCAGCATTAAGACTCCCAGAGGCTGATTAAAGATGACTGACCTCGTCTTGCACGCCGCTGCTGCCGGTCAATTTGTTGCCATCGGTGATTGCAATTATGATGGCAGGTTCAAGAAAGAAAGGATTCCTTCCCTGTAATGAGAAATTTATTCAACGTGAATAGATGCAGGGAAATCATTAAAATAAGCAGCATGATCTTACATCTGCTGTACCTTGCAGAGGCATTCATACCCTTTTGATGTTTTATTGCAATCACAGACGTTTGAATTTTACATGATGCAGAAGCGCAAAACAAGCAAAACTATAAAATGGAAGAAAATATTTTAGGATTTTGTCCAACAATGTCTTAAATATGAGGATCCTATGTTTAGATACATACATATGTATGAGTTAGATCGACCTCGTCAGAGTCCACATTGAAATTTGCAAGAATTAAAAACCGTTATTGATGAATGCTTGGCGTCATATCCAACTGGATTTGAGCAGTTTTTCAAAGTTGTAAAAATTGCAAACATTATCCTAGAATAAGAAATAAAAAATCAGCCTCTAAGCTGATAGAGACATGCCCCCAAAGACCCACAGCTGGAACTTGAATCAAATGCTCTACAACGAAGCCCGTCTATGTATTATATTAGGTATGCTTTAAAACATCCATAACTATGCCTGATCTGGCAAAAAATACAACAAAGTATTTGAAAAAATGTGAAAAAAAATTAATGAGTTTTAAATATTTTTGAAATCCTCTGCAGGTTACATCATATAATTCATTAGCAGCTGCATTGAAGTGAATTGAGAGACCATCAAATAAAATTCAAAGGGAGAATAGGTGCAGAATAACATATGTATGTATTTAGGTGCATCTTTGTTATAAGCTTCCTCTATCCTCCAAATGACAAGTGTATGAAACATCTCTTCTGCAAGATCCCAGAATATTTCCTGACATCAGCACTCCGCATGGAGAATGAAACTGGAGCAGGACTGCATTTATCACCGTGCATCAGCCTTACGGGATCTCCACTGGGGCCGTGAAATAACTCAGCGAGTTAACGGCGTAAAACCTCAATGCAGTGTGACAGGTTCTGTCAGCAAACAGCCAGCATGCCGAAGCTTTGCTTCACAAAGGCCGTCCTGTACCGGCGGGGGTTATTAATGGAAGCCGACCCGCTCGGACTGGACTCTACCTGTGGGCCGTGTTCTCTGCTGAATGATGGATCTGTCCATATGACCCAAAGCAAACAGAGCACAAGATTACCAAAAATTCTGCCCTACTGGAGGTATCCATGACAACCAAGTTATTTCTCCCCCCCTCTTCTCCTCCGTCCTTCAAATCCTTTTATAAGGGGAACTTTCTTGGCATGCTAATGAGTCAGGGACGCGGCTAAATGGGAAAATGATTTTCTGATTCCGATTGTGCAACATCTGCTCTCTCAGCTTTAATAGCCGAGCCCCCCCATTTAAATCATAATGGGCCTTAGAATCAGAACAGGTCAGAAGCTGGAGTTCCCCTTCTGGTTTCAATACCTATTATGCAAAACAACAAAGTTTTGTTAGTGAAATGTTAATCGAAATCTATCAGAAATAGATATGTTTTTAAAGAAAGCAGATTTTAGTCTGTTACAGATTAAAATTTAGGCGTCCTAATCCAGTCAAAGCTCTTTCACGCCGTCCCTTTCTTCCTCTCTTTGATTGGTCCCCACATGGAAACTGATCAGGATTACCCGCAGACCTTCTCCCGCTTTACCTCCCGAACCCCTCGTCTTCTCCCAGGGGGAAAAGTCATCCCAGATGCCTGGCAACCTGGAGGACTCTTTGTTACCGCAGACAGAAACACTCTGGAGCAATATTAACTTTCCAGCAGGCTTAGTCTCCTTCGTTACAGTCTTCTGGTGCTTGAGGCACATCTTACACCTCAGGGAGTCGATGAACATTCAGATAAAACATAAAAAACGGGCAGAGAAAGATGAGTTCTACCACGCAGAAGGAGCTTTATACACAAGCCGACACATGAATTTTGTCATGCTGTGATTTACAGCTGCTCGGGGTTGAAGAACAGAAATAATGGAGTCAGAGCACTGATGCAACATGTCAGGTTTTAGTCCTAAAAAGAAAAAGATTCTCAGAATTCAGACAGTTAAAGTCTGCTCTTGTGAAAATGATAGATGAGCCATTTACAGTCGCTTGCACCTCCTTAATGCCGACTTCACAGGGATTTTTCTTTTTCATACTTCTTTTAAGGTTAATTTGATAAGAAAAAGCAAAACAAAGAAGGTATAACCCCCATACATAACATAAAAAGTACACATTGCTTTTAAAACAACAAAAAAATGTTAACCTGATTTTATACGGTTCCCCCTAAACACTAGTCTGCAAAAGTGACCTCATTAGGAAAGTCTGTTAACTGTGCAACATAGATAGAGTGGTTCTATAAAGGCTTTTATGGGTTAGTTAGAGGATAGAGACAAAGGGAACAATGAAGACCAGCGGACACAGCAGAGTGGTGATCCTAACCGGGCAAAATGGAGTGATTTGGATCCATTTGTAAAAATGGTCCAATTGTTAAAAAAAAAAAAAAAAATTAGAAAATCCTGTCTGACTCATCACATAAAATCCAGATAAAATTATCTTAACTGTGACATTAGACCAAACAAAATACGCTAAGTTCAACGCCTAATGCTCTTGTGAGGAGATATTTTGCAATAAATATATGAACTATATATTCAGATCTAAAACCTTTTACTTTAGTCTCGCTCTCCTGTAATCACATTATGGCTGAAACAAATAGATTAGTGAAATAATGAACTAATCTAGTCATCGATTAATCATTAATTGGGAGCTTAGAGACGCTAAAACACCCCTAGCCGACAGAGTGATCCACTTAGAGCAGTAAATATACCAAAATTGTGAAAATATATATAAATGTTTTTCATTTTTGATTAAAAATAAGAACTTTTTCATCTTTCAAAATGCTCTATCCAGAACTCAAAGTGGAAAAGTTTAATTTCACCGGGTTTAATTCTGCATAAACTCTTTAAGGAACCCCTCGCTATCAAATTATTAATCCATTAATCTGTCAATTGATTATCAAAATAGGCATCAGTTGCAGCCCTAAATCACATATTCTTTTCATTCGTTTTTGTTTTTTAACAACAAAAGGTCACCGATTTGAAAAGAAGCCCTGCACAGTTACATCTACCAATGCAATAAATAAATAAGGGATAAAATAATAAAGATGTAAAACCATGATTCTTTGTTGATAATATTAAAAATCCACCTGTTTTATTGTGACCATAACGAGTGACTTGAAGCCAGCAAACTGCATAATTATCAAAAAGTAAACAATGGTGAATGATTTACCTTTTAAAATTATAAATAGGACTGCTTTAAGTAGGTATGAGGGCAATAACACAATCCCAACAAGTGGCTTCTATTCTAAAGAAAATAATAATAAGCTAATACGTAATAAGCGTGGTGGAAATGAGCCATCTGTTCAGCAGCCAACCTCTTTAAGTAGCAAAAACGTATTCTTATTAAACCATAATTACAGTCACAGCAAACAGTGGTTAGAAACAAAGGTCAGGGTTAGTGCGTTCTGGACCCGTCTGCTGTGACCTCTGCTGGCGTTCCCTGGCATGCGTCCCCCACAGCCTCTGCCAGAATGTTATTCACACTCCTGCGGAGCGTTTAACGCTCCTTTACGTACACCGCATGTATGAGTTACACCTAGCAGAGGGGCACCTCCAGTCATTACACAGGAAATGTTTAAGATCCATTCCCTGCACTTTATCTCCTTAAAGGAAAACAGATGTTGAAATGCTGCACTGATGCCAAGAGCCCAAATTTATAGGATGGAATTTCATACAAAGCTAGCAGAGACTGAAAACCGATGCTGGGGTTTTAAAAGGATGACGATAAAATGGAATATGGGGAGGTGTTGCATTTCCTGCAACCTGCTTTATTGTTCTTCTCTCTAATGAAGCCATCAAAGATGAGGCAATGATCCTTTAGTGTAAAACTGGACCACGGGTTTCCCAATGAAATCATGACATGCGTTCAAGGTAATCTGAAATAAAAGTAGCCATCTATAACTGTAAACACAATGTCTCACCTTCTATTTATACCCCCCTCCCCTCCTTTCTCAGTGCTTTAAGGGACTACAGCTGATCCATGAAGGATGATGCTAGTTGGCACCGATAGTTTGGCGCTCAGGCTGTAGATTACTTCCAGATTTCGCTGCCTTCTATGAGACTTTTTCCAGGAACCTGGAAATGTTTGCTCATTTCAGCCATCATTCTTATTTCTGCTTGAGGTGTGGAGCTCTTCTTTCTGTACGGCTATTGTGTTGATTTTTTTTAATAAACTGTTTAATCTCCTATCGCCCGTGCTTAACCAGAAAAATCAACCACTGAATGGAAGAAGTCTGATATATTCTTACAGCAATAAGCATCAAATTATCACCTGAATCCAAATGCGCTATATTAAAATTGGATTTCACTGTATTGGCTGAGCCCTAATTAGCATTGTTTGGAAATTATTTCTATATAATTGGATAAGATTCTGGCCCAGTTATCCTCTAAAGTACATCCAGATTATATATCTTGTGTAGAAATCGACTGAAATGAAAGATGCTGATTTTTCTTGCTGCATCAGGGCTTAAAGAGGGAAAAAAAGAAACTACTTAAACCCCTCTGGCTGAGCAGTTCTCTGAATTCAGCTACTTGGAGAAAAAAAAGAACAGAAAAATAAAAATCACTACTCAGTACTCGGCCATGAGCCAGAAATGCTTGAACACGGGTTAAAAACTGACTTTTTAATTAGAATAAATCTGATTTTTAGTTTCAGCCAAATGTAAAACAGCTGCTGTAACAGAAACGGTTCCAGGCAGAGATTTTTATGCACTCATCGGGGGCATAGATGTTGGTTATCTGGGGCTTTTATTTGGAGCATTTCAAAAGTTATTTTCTCATCAAAGAAAATAAAGAACACATATCAGGTGCACAACTCCAATGTTGACCTATATTAACAAGTTTGCGTGTACACCCCCGGTTTATATGTAGATAAATGTTTCTATCAAGCTGCATTTTGACTTTTCTTTCAGCTAAAAATCATGTTTCAGGATATTTTACTACTCTACCTGAATACATCAATAGGATTCTTTTAAATTCTTTAAATAAAACCAGTTTATGTGCTGGTTTTTCTTCACAATTCAACCCACTGTTTCCAGTATAGCAGCACCACTATGGCTGAAAGGGACTGAAATGGTTTTTAGTTTGAAAAAAGCAAACAAATACCATGGCACCTTTAAAAGTTTCCCTATTATTATATCCAAACAGCTTTATCCTTCCATTCTGAGACCATTAAGCGAGGACTAAAACACCTCGTGTCATATACATGGATGGCTGCAAACTTTATAGGTTGTAATTTTATATATATGTAATTTTAAAGCAGGTTATGAAAAAGTTCATTATTCCTGATTCCTTCTTAAACATTTTGGCCAACAGCCTTTAATCTAAAGGGGCCCGTTTGGATCAGACGGCTGAAAGCTAAACTTAAGTTTACCTTCCATCAGGACAAATAGGCATAAATAGCTTTAGAAAGTAAAAATCAGCCTAACGTTCTGCTTTCTACTAAGATTAAAATGTTTCCACTTTCTAGAAGACAGGTCATTTTTTTTAAGAAGTCTACCGTTTCTCATGAAAATAATTCAATCAAAAGCAATATGTCTTATTACATGTGTATAATTTATCAAAATTTTACACATTTAAAAAGAAGAAAAATCTATAAACCTTGTTTTAAAACCAGAATTTGTTTGTTGTAGAGTTATTCCACCTTAAAAAATTAAACATTTAAATGATTAGGAGTTAAATATGTATCTTATTGATGGGAAAGGAAATCATTATAGATGTATAAAGAAAAAAAAAAACTACTTCCCTTTTCCTGAAACTTGGTGGCTTTCATGTTTATTTGACTGTGAATGTGTGGCAGCAGAGGATGTGTGTTGATGCTTGTACTACTGGGGTGAGGATGTGGACTTAAGGGGGCGGAGCTGGTGACTGTTTTTTTCTTTTTTTTTAGGTGCACTTTGCATGAACGTTTGTTTCCTCTCTTCATCTTCAGAGACTACGTACCTGACCATAGTTGTCTATCCCAGTGACTAATCTATTGAGATTTAGCAAATCAAAAGCAGTCCTCAAGGACTGGCCAAAAGTTGTTAGGCCGGTTGCTTGGAGGTTCCTCAGCTCTGTCATGAAAGTGGCATGGCTCTCCTTCCATCCAGCCTGTTGGAGACAAAAAGCAAAACAATCATTAAAAACCATCCAAACTGAGCCATCACATGTCATTTAAATCAACTTTCTGGTTGTAAATGCTGCACATGACTCTGTAGTCCAACATCCTGTCAGATAAATATCATAAAAGGTCATTCTGTGTGGATCAGAAAGGTAATAGTGCATCTCTACACTATGGAACAATCATCTTAGTGTAGAATTTATGATTTATCAACATTGTTCACCTCAGCTAGGTAAGAAAAAAAATAGGGATTCAGTTTCTAAATGTAATGGCAGAAAGTAGGTTTGTTTCAGCCAACCTTTTACCTTAGACGGTCTACGCTGATATTACTTGTAAATACTCCCATTAACTTTTTGCAGATGTTGAAAGCTATTTACTACCGAGCTTATTAACTTATTATCCACCACTGGATAGTATAACCACTAATGGCCGCCAATGCTTTCAAAAACTGCACCGGGATATTTATTTTAAATTGAATAAAGACTTTAATACCTTTATATGTATCTAACTTCCTATGCATTACTTACAAAGGAAGCAACTAAAGTCAATAGACTTGTATTGCATTTGAATCAACTACCGATTCCAATGCCTGTTTAAAACAGATCTAACCATATCAACTTCCTGTTTTTATGCTATGCATTTGTTTTTAGCATTTTCCTTTCCTAAACCTGACCACTAAAACCTACTGCTGCTAATAAACTAGAGCACTTTCACTTTCTTTATGTATCTTTTTCCCCCAGCTTTTATTATTGATTACACTGTCACAGGTACAGAGCAACGAATTTAACCATCCCCTTAAGGAGCAGTGGGTGGGGAGCAGTGTGGGGTTATAGGCCTTGCTCAGGGACCGAGAGTGGCAGTCCTTGGGAGTGGGGCTTGAACTCAGAACCTCGGGATTTCAAGCGCAATGCCTTAACCACTAGGCCGCTTTTCTTTGGAGGCCTCCAGTCTTCTTTGATTGCACCAGATGTCCGCTCAAAACAAATCTGCAGGTTTTTCCTTCTTTGTTCAAAGGCAGTTGTTCCATTCCACTGTTACCACATACTTGCACAGAAAGGATTTCTGCAAATAGCTAAAAAAAAAAAAACTGTCTAATATAATGAATAAGTCTGGCATTAAATTATTGAAATTATTAAAAATCATGTATTATGGAAAAAAAAAACCTACCCACTATCTGTTAAAAAGTATGTTTACATTAGTTTGACAGCCTACGTAACAGGATTAGGGCCACTGAAAAACAAAACAAAACTGATTTTTAAATATATTTCAGCTTAATATGGGGAAAAAGTCAGAATTCTGACTTTTTTTCTCAGAATTCTGACATTTAATCTCAGAATTCTGACTTTTTTCCTCAGAATTCGGAATTTAATCTCAGAATTATGACTTTAATCTCAGAATTTTGAATCTTAATTTAGATGGACACCATGAAGGAAGAGATGTGGGAGCACCCAGCTTCACTGACAAAGATGTGAGTTGTCTGAGAGGGCCAGTAACACATTGGTGGAAATGACAAAATTAGGCGACTTTTTACGTGGCAGAGGGGTCCCCGGTGATGCTATTTCATTAATGGAAGAGCAGAAGGTGATTAAAACCAGAGAGCTAATTTAGTCTCTAAAACAGACATGGCTACGGCTTGATGCTAACATGTTTGTTAGCTGTCAGAATTCTGAGATTATAGTCGGAATTCTGAAGT